TTTCAAGTGCTAACTCACCTTCACTCCACCTAATAACCACCAAAACGGTCAGGTGAAAGGTCACATGTCCAAGTTCATTGAACATAGAGAAAGATATGTTGATGGGAGGTTGTATGAGATGTGTGAAATTAGGACAACTAAATTGTGAGTTATTTGTTATTGTAACTGTCTAGCGAATTCATTATGGTGAAGGAATCAGAGAAATTACGAAAAGTAAATGGACACGTATTTCATCGGTCCATGAACGGGTGCGACGAGAAGATTTGGATCTCCAAGACTTTTTTTTATAAGATAATATTTACATGTGTAGCTCATGACCTGAAAACAAGACTAGTCGATCCACTCATGATATATACGATGGGACTATGGGGTAGTGGTGATGGTTATATCAGTGATGAATGGTGAGTGATGATACTCACGATGATGATGATTATGTGGATTTATGATTGCACTAGCCAAAAATAGGGTGTCGACATTAAAGGTGTTTTGCCACCTATGGGTGTAGGATGTTGTCGCGTGTTTCTATGAGAAAGTTGTTGGGATGTGTTGGGTTGTGATACCAGTTTTTTTAGAGCGTGTTCAGATGGTTAGGGTGATAGGCAATCTTCCTCAGGAAGCTTTCGCAGTAGATCGCAGTGCCAATCGAGAGATCGGCAACCCTAACAGAGATTGCGCGGGCCACATGCGGAGTGGCTTTTATGGTCTTGGGCAAGCTTGTTTACTTGAGACGAGATTAATACGTGGGCACATCATTCCATACGATAAGAAATTTATGGATACTACATAGAGGCCCCTAGGTTTCTAAGTGGAGAGATATCGCTTGAGTAACCTGGAAAGCTAAGTCCCAAATGTTTTACGTCGACTTAAAGGTGCTTTACCGACCGCGTGGCGGTTACATTAGAAAGCATGTCGTTACGCCTGACACCTTTAGCGATGGAATGTGTCGTGTAATAAATGTGTTTGTCTGAAAGGACAAACCTCTTGGACTTCGTGTCTTGAAGCGACCGAATGTAATGACTGGAAGAGGGTGCGTCAAGCATATATATGGAGAAACTTTCATCTTTCTAGTCACGCTTTTTGAAATTTAAATTTTCCTTGGCAAATTTTTTTGTCTTGCATCGTCTTTACTTCTTTTTCTTTGTTAGCATACGCATTTTAAAATTCGGAGAATGTGTTTTTGTCGAGTAATTGATAAATGGAGACGTTGTCAGAGGAGGAACATGTGGTTACCCTGGAGGGATTTTTGCGGCGGTAGGCGATGAAAGTTCTATCAAAGGATATTGACTTGGACATGTGCAGGGAGATGATTGTGATGAAAGACATTATGTTACTCAAGCTCCGGGAGAAAATACGTGATCTTGGGGTCTGTTCGGATGATCTCCATGTACGAATGTAAGCGAGAACATGAACCCCCCTCCCCCAGCCGAGAGCGTTGTCGTGAACAAGATGACGTTAGCGTCAGGGTTACGGTTCCTTCTTCTGTCAGTAATTGCTGAGTATCTACAGGAGTGAGGGATCGGTATTACGCAAATCCACCCGGATACTATGATGCACCTAACATCTTTGGTAGAGATGTTCATCAATATAGGGTGGTTGGCACCGAATGTGAAGGAGCTTGATTCCGTTTACATATGGTCGACGGCGAAAGGAGGTTAAGGATACTTTTCTCGTAGTCATGACACTCGGACACTTGTCTCGCAAGTAGCAGATCTCGCTTCATCGCCGCTGGCGCCAGATAGAAGATGCGTCGTTCACCGTTGAAGAGGCTTGAGAGTAAAGAGGCTTGAGAGTAAAGAGGCTTGAGAGTTGAGACTGCAGGACAACTTAACAGAGGCTTGAGAGATTAGGTTTTACCAATTTAGGAGCCCGTCTATTTTGTGTGAAAAAAATATGTTAATGTGTGAGAAGATATGTGAGAGTCACGTACCCATTTAACTAGCCCAATAGAGGTTTTAAATTTTTTTTTTGGATTTTGTTTTTGCCTTGTTGGGTTGATTCAATCAAATGGGCTAACTATAAAATTATATGGAGCTATATCAAACAAAATAATCTAAAATATAACTTTTTATTACCTGGGGATGAAGCCCGCCTTAGTCCATGGGTGGCTCCACCTTTGTCTGTTAGGTTTAGAAAGGGCCTGTTTAACATGGATGCAATGCATCCATTAATAGCGAGCCCCAATTAGTCGTCCAATAAGCTGAACGATATTCAAGCAGCTTTTTTATTGTATTTTTTAAAAAAACAAAAAAAAAACAATTAATTATTCAAACTTTTTTTTTTCTTTTTTACATTTAATTCAATTTTTATCGACATCAAACTTCCCAATATTGATAAATTCAAAATTTATCTATATCACACTTTCCAATATGTGTTAGTTTACATTTTCTATTCTGTCATTCTTTCTATGCCTATAAATACACCACGATTTTATGACTCTCTTTCACAAAAAAATTAGCAACTGCTCATTTGCTTTTAAAAAATAGATTTGAATTATAGGAAAAAATTTCAAAAATTTTCAAGTTCTAATTCTGACATTCTAGATGAAATTTCATTCTCCCAACATTCACAAAACTCCTTTAAATTTACCATTTTCACAAGAACCCTTATCCTGCACATTTTTTTTCACAATCCCATTAGATTTTTGAATTATGCAACAACACTCCCAAAATTTTCTCTCTCTTTTTTTTTTTTGCTACCAACTAAAAAAGTTTATATATCTGTACTATTATTTTTCATTCATTTGTAATCTTAATTTAACTTCTAATAATGTTATTTTTAATATCATCATTAAAAATTAAATATTCTAATTAAAAAAATATATTTATTTTATTAAGAACAGAATATAAAAATAATATTGAATGAGTGAGAAATGAGTCACATATATATGTTGGCATTTAAATGAAATCAGATTCACCAATGTAAATTTGTGTCTAAATGAAGAGATGTTTAGTTAAAAGATGCTGTAGACGAAAGAAAATTTAAATTGTGATTAAATGGACAAGAAACATGGATACCCTAATAAATAAATAAAGGTTATATATTTGTACCAAAAAAAAAAAAATAATAATAATAATATATAAGCGCCTACCTAATGCTTTGAATAAAATACAATCACTACCCGTGTTGCCAGCATGAAAATTCTTATTCCTTTTGCGTAGTTGGTGACTTGGTTGTTGTTTATGATAATTCAGCCTATATATAATTCAAGAATACGCTGAGCCTACGTGGCTGTTTCTGGTGCTTCGGAATCTTATTTGGCAAAGAATCATGCTTCGTAATTAGATTTAGATAAATAATATTGATATATATTAATAATTAATAATCTAGGTTCGGGTCATCCATAAATATTATTTAACTAATTTAGGTATTTTAATATCACTTTTACTAATATAATCCTTTAATTCTTTGTAATTTTAAATAGTGAGTGACTAATATATCTGAATTTTGATTTGTTTCCTTCAATAAGCTATTGAATTATAAATGTATTTTAAAAGTTGATAACTTTTGTATTTCTTATCAGTTTTACATATATAATATATCAAATTAATCATCTTTTGATGATCTTCGATTTGACATCCATATTATATATATATGAAATAAATAAATTATATTTATCTTTATAATAATAAAAAATAATAATATTTATTGAAATTCATTAGAAAAATAAAATTATTTTTCAATTGATATATTTATATGTAATGTAGTTATATATTGTAAGTTAAAAAAAATTAGTATAATATAACACAAGTAAGTTGCACAAATAAAAAGTGTCATAATAAATATATAATATATATATACTTGTAAAAGGTATTTAAATTTTTAAACTACTTTTTCTCATTAATTTTAGATTTTAAGAAAAAAAATTAGCAAGCACCCGTGTAATATACGAGTGTTGTACTAGTAATATTTTATTTTAGTATTAATATAATAGAGAATGACGAGATAGGGTGGACTAAGTGAATAACAAGTGTCTTTTGTCCTGACCTAAAATAAAATCCCACATGACACGATTTTCAGACTTTACAGTTTCAATCCCATTGATGTTGATTTATTTATTTTTCTTATCATTTCTTCATTGTTAAGTATGGTTTTCTAAGAGAGATTTGGTTTACATATGCTTCTATAATCTACGGTTATGTTGGCAAAACTAGGGGTGAACAACGCTACGGTTATATATAAAAATCGCATCGAATTGTACAAAACTAAAAATCGAACCTAGCAAAACAATTAACCGAATCGCACCGCAACATAGAAAAAACTGAATCGAAATCGAACCGATTTTTTTTTTACGCTAAAATAGCCGCATCGAAATGCACGGTTCGATTTGGTTTATACCGGTTTTTCTATACATTTTATGCAATTTGGTTCGGTTTAGTGCAAAACCACACCGAACCGAACAAAACCGATAACCGAACTTGTGAAAAATTATAACCGCACCGCATCAGAAATGTAAGAAAAAACAAAACCGAAATTTTTTCACATTAAAAAAATGAACCGAACCGCACAGAAATATAGTGCAAAATAGCGCAAAAAAGAGTGAAATAGAGCAAAATAACATAAAATGCGTGATATTTCAGCATTTCGCGTAAGCTATTCGAGAAAATCGCTAAATATATAAAGCTACATCGCGTTTTTTTTTTTTTTTGAGAAAAAAGCAATATAGCGAGCTACGTAGCGAGCTATTTAAAACAATACATTTAATAAGTACTTTCCGAACAAGTGTCGGTGCATCAAATCTATATATATATAATTGCTGGCAGATACATTTAATAAAACATTTAATAAAACCTTCATAATTTTTCCGCTCATTTTTTCAATTAATGTAGAAACGTTACATTTTACATTAATAAAGTGTAATAACAATTTTAAATTAATTTATTATATAATATTACTATTAACACTAACTGATTATAATTTTACTTTAAATAGATGTGGAAGTTACATACTTTTAAAAAATTGTATTGCAACTTTTTTCTTTAAAATATTTATAAAATAAAATTATTATTGTCTTTTACCTAATATTAATTAATTGACACGAGTGTCATAATTAAACACCTTAAAATCATTTAGACAATTGTTATAACAATAATAAAAATATTTGTAATACTTTTCTAACTAATTAAATGTATGATCCCTCTAGACTACTAAATTATATTATCCATTAAAATTTATGGCATCGATATAAATATTCATACGTAAGTTAAGTAATTTATATTTACATTAACATTTTCATATAGTCAAAATTTAAAATGTAATATATCAATTATCTAATATAAAATTTTATATATTGTATGTATACATATAATATATAATTTTTACTTTTTTTTTGTGCATGTGCACAGGATGAATACTAGTGAGGAATAACTTCATAAGAGAACCATCCACTAACTCCATAAAATTTGTGCTCATGTTTATACTTGAATGATCTTATCAATTTGAAAATCATGTAGGTGGTTTTGTGAAGCCAATCAATGTCAAAAATGACTTTATATCAAAACCCACTTATTAGCTCCCTAATAATTTCAACTAAATTATCAACCCTTCATTTATTAGCATGAAGCTTCATAAGTTCCTTTCTATCTCATTTATGTAACAAATAATAATATAATAATAATAATAATTAAGAGCATAAATGTTGTCATTACTGATGTTAGCCACGTGTGCTAAAACAAGGGCATAACCGGAAAAGAATAATAAAACACAATACGAATATATCCCACCTTTTAACTGTTCCCCCGACATATTCTCTCCTCTTCCACACTTGCAGTTCGTGTGAAATAATTTAAAAAAACCGCACATAAACTAATAACATCTCAAAATCTCGATTTCTCTCTGTTTCTACTCGCAGGGTTGCTGTAATTGTTCTGAAAATCTGAAAACTTTCTCACCTTATATT